ATATTCAGAACAAGAGATTTCAGGAAAGGGAAAGCTTTTCTTTTTATCCTACAATTAAGAAACTCCTAACACTTGATGATTTACTTGAAGTTTGTGAATAAATAAACAAATGAAATCTTGGTATATGTGTTGTGTTATTGCTAAACCTTATATTGTCAGCAAACTAGACTGGGTTTGTCATATATCATCGGCTCAGTATTATAAAACTAACTTCTATGCTGAAAAAAAAACTTTAATAGTACCATAAAAAGGTAGACACAAAGTTTAAATAAAGTTGAAGATCAATTAATCACAAGGTTTGCTGGTCTGTTTTAGTGTGCAGGATAGCGTACTGTATCTCAAACTCAGTTACCATTCTAATCAATTAATCAGTACCGAACGAACTGGAAACAGCACACATTTAAGTATTTATTGCTGCAACTAAAATCGCCCTAGCGGCAGTTGTACTAACTATTTTACTGCTTAGTATCCAACAATAATGGCCCGGCATTGCCAGGTGGTTAGGGCGATCGACTAACAATCTAAGGGTCGCGAGCTCGAATCCAAGTCCCACCAAACATGCTCGCCCTTTCAGCCATGGGGGCGTTATAATGTGATGGTCAATTCCACTATTCGTTGGTAAAAGTGTATCCCAAGAGTTGGCGGTGGGTGGTGATGACTAGCTGCCTTACCTCTAGTCTTACACTGCTAAATTAGGGACGGTTAGCGCAGATAGCCCTCGTGTAGCTTTGCGCGAAAATAAAAAACAAACAGACCAACAATAATAACATGTAACGATAATACTACACAAGAGCTATCAAAGATAGGCGGCCGTCCCTAATTTTCAACTGATACACAAGAGGGAAAATAGCTAGTCAACAGAGCACACCACTAATATATACATATTCAAATTAAATTCACGTTTACAATTATACTGAAATTTACAAAATTCAAGCATTACTCTACTTTTATAAGTTTTCTATGTCCAGAAATACTACGTGATTGAGTTGGTTATTCCCATTCATCGTGAAACTCTTATAAATTTGAATGTAAAGTATATCTTTACTGTGGGTAACGGGCTAGGCTTAACGACAGCTGACTTTACTTCAAGACTTGTTATAACTTGCCAGTGTGTGACGCACTTGATTTAACGACAGCTTACACAAGTTGGAGACTTGTTATAACTTGCCAATATGTGACGCACTTGATTTAACGACAGCTTACACTAGTTGGAGACTTGTTATAACTTGCCAGTGTGTGATACACTCGAATTAACGACAGCTGACACTAGTTGGAGACTTGTTATAACTTGCCAGTGCGTGTGATGCACTTGACTTAACGACAGCTGACACTAGTTGGAGACTTGTTATAACTTGTCAGTAGGTGACGCACTTGACTTAACGACAGCTGACACTAGTTGGAGACTTGCTATAGCTTGCCAGTGTGTGACGCACTCGACTTAACGACAGCTGACACTAGTTGGAGACTTGTTATAACTTGCCAGTGTGTGATACACTCGACTTAACAACAGCTGACACTAGTTGGTGACTTGTTATAACTTTCCAGTATGTCACGCACTTGACTTAACGACAGCTGACTCCAGCTGGAGACTTGTTATAACTTGCCAGTATGTGACGCACTTGATTTAACGACAGCTGACTCTAGTTGGAGACTTTTTATAACTTGCCAATATGTGACGCACTCGACTTAATGACAGCTGACCCTAGTTGGAGACGTGTTATAACTTGCCAGTATGTGACGCACTTGACTTAACGATGGCTGACACTAGTTGGAGACTTGTTATAGCTTGCCAGTATGTGACGCATTTGATTTAACGACAGCTGACACTAGTTGGAGACTTGTTATAACTTGCCAATATGTGACGCACTCGACTTAACGACAGCTGACACTAGTTGGAGACTTGTTATAACTTGCCAGTGTGTGTGACGCACTTGACTTAACGACAGCTGACACTAGTTGGAGACTTGTTATAACTTGCCAGTGTGTGTGATGCACTTGACTTAACGACAGCTGACACTAGTTGGTGACTTGTTATAACTTACCAGTGTGTGTGATGCACTTGACTTAACGACAGCTGACACTAGTTGGAGACTTGTTATAACTTGCCAGTGTGTGATACACTCGACTTAACGACAGCTGACACTAGTTGGAGACTTGTTATAGCTTGCCAGTATGTGACGCACTGGACTTAACGACAGTTGACACTTGTTGGAGACTTGTTATAACTTTATAACTTACCAGTGTAGTACGAAGTGGTACCAGAGGGCGTATTGCTACCAAGGATATATTGGTGGATGCTATTACCAAGGTTCTACAGGCGAATTGTGTTGCTATACTTCCGTTGGACTACATATTAAGATTTAAAAACAGAGGAAATGTTTTCAGATGTTTCCATTCATTCAAAAAATATATTTGCAATTTAGTTTTGAAACACCGAAAATTCCTGATCCTAAACCAAGAGTGATCCGAAAAAAGCCTCAGTATAGAAGCCGAAACGTCATCTCCTTTTCTTTCAACAACCAGTACTATAACTAGTACGTTAAACGCATACCAAATCGATACTTAACAACTGTCTTGTTAAGTATTTATGAAAACGATACATTAGATGCAATAAAACCTTTTCAGCAGTAAATTAAATGAGTCAGTAACACTATACTCCTATACAAGCACGTGATATCGTTCAATATGTAAATGAAAACCATATACACACAAGTTGAAATCTGTATGCAATCCTATGAAAATATAGTAACATTGTCTGCCTATAGAACCACCATTCGCCTTTGTAAAAACATACAATACGCCTAGTAAGACCATCCGTCAGTAGAATCTTAGTAAGAACTTGTAATAATAATAATACCATTCGCCCTTAGAAGCACTGTCAGCCTTTGTAAGACATGTGTAAGTGAAAACTATTACTGTCAACATGAAATAATTTGTCAAGAACTTATTTATTGTTATACACAATAACAATCATAGTTATATGGGTAGAGGAAAAGCATAAGAATATATTTAATCTACAAAAACAAACTAGTGAAACAGTAAGATTGTATATTAAAGTATTGCATGATATTTAGAGATGTTATAACGAAAAATCCATCCTTTTCAGGACAGATATGTGTAAAAAGTATGCTATGCAAAACGACTATTACAGAAGAAAGTTCGTTTATATCTGTACTGTACTGATATGCTTTAGTAGAAATCATTCAGCATCATAAAAAAGATTTGTATAAAAAATTGACAGAAAGATAAAAATAGTAATTTATAACATAGTTGTTTACATAGACCCTTTAAACTTTAATGGAAGAAATACATTCATTAATCTATAAAGCTAAATATGAGATTTGAATAAGCATCCTTTTCAGGACGAATAGATGTTATACAATACATAAATTATAGAAATAAAACTATAGAACAAGTGAATTAGTGATAATGGTTTTACATATACACTGTCAGAAAATGCAAAAGTATGTTATGCAAGTTAAATATAGAAGCAAAAACTATAGAACTAATGAATTAGTGAAATGTTTTATACATAAAATGATGGATAATTGTAAAAGTCTGTAAGGTAAATTATTGGCTATAATATTTGCCTCGTTCAAATAATGGATAAATTAAGATATGTGGGATAAAAACTGACACATATAACAGTGTTATAATAGTTGTCTCACTGAAATAAGAGTTTTTACTTGTAACTTTTAGGACAGGTAATTAAATCTAGACTACAATGTTGATGAGATAATCACATGTTGAGCTCATCCTCCTATTTAACGATCTGTTTATAGAAACACCATCCTCTGTAGCAGTATTAACCTTAGTAACACAATTTGCCAAGTAATACCATCTGCCTATAAAAACACCACCCGCCTTTGTAAGAGGTACACAATTAAATATACAAAAGAAAAACTATTATCGTAAGCTGAGACGAGCTGAAATCTGTATGCAGTCCTACGGAAGTATAGTAACACAATTCACCTGTAGAACCTTGGTAATAGCATCCACCAGTACAACATTGGTAGCAATATCTGTTCCTAGCAATGCGTTCTCTGATACCACTTCGTGGACTAGCAATAGGCTCCATGTTGAGTAATACTTCAACCATGACGTCACGTGACATCTCCTAACATCGGGCTTTCTGGCAACAGACAACTTCCGTCGTCTGGCGGCCTAGCAACGTGCCTCTATTTAGCATGCTCTCTGGTACCACGTTGTGACGTAATCGTCTCTGGTTTATGGGACTATGACGACATAGTCTCTACTCCTCCCCTATTGCCTGAGGTCAGCACACGTGTCCTCTTTGGTCGCGTACCAGGAGCCACTCGCCCTAAATACTACTGGGAAGGCAAACAGTCAACACCACCCACCCCCAACTCTTGGGCTATTCTTTTTCCAAGGAATAGAGGGATTTAGCGTAAAATTGTAACGCCCCAATGCTGAAAGGACGAGCATTTTCGGTGACGAGTATTCGAACCCGCGTCCCACAGATTGCAAGTTGAGCGTTCTAACGACCAGGCCATGCAGAGCCTGTATTGAAAAAGAGCTCTTGTATGTGTATAATTGAAAACATGATTAGGTTTAATAGAACGCTATATATATTGTTTCAAAAATTAACGCTAGTCTTATACACGTTATAGATCACAAGTTGTTTTTATAAGTCCATAATTAGCTTGTAGAATATACAGTTTAAGATGTAAGACAACAGCTTAACAATAGAATGTGTCGTGAGTCTGATACATTGTTATAGATTACAATATAAGTCCATAATTAGCTTGGAGAATATATAGTTTAAGATTTAAGACAGCAACTTAGCAATAGAATGTGTCGTGAGTCTGATACATTTTTATAGATCACAAGTTGTTTTGATCAGTCCATAATTAGCTTGGAGAATATACAGTTTAAGATGAAAGACAGCAACTTAACAACAGAATGTGTCGTGAGTTTGATACATTGCGCAATAATATTTATTATTTAATAGTATGTATTATTCATATCTTATCTTGTAGGAGGCAATAGTTGTGACAGACGTTCTTGGCAATGGTGCAGCTTTCCAAGATGGCCGACTAAGAAAAGGAGACGTTTTGTTGGCTGTAAGTCGAAACATTTTGTTAACTTTGAAATATGCGTTTATTCCGGCACGTTTTTACATACATAAACGATGTTTTTCTTAAGAACCTGTTTTCGTCTCCTATGGATTTTCTAGGTGAACGACCTGTCACTGAGGGACATCTCCTTCAAAGAAGCGGTGAAGCTGTTGCACGAGGCAACGTCGCCCGTGCGACTGGTGGTTCTTAGAGAAAATCCTCAAACCTTATTTACAACCCACCAGAGTAAGTTATTTAGCAAGTTAGGCTTGTATATATTCTTCGCAACTCTATATTTTACACTTCTAGTGCTCTACACCACCAGAACCTTTGAACCTCTGCCTTTTTCAACTTTTACAGTAATTCTATTTTACTAGCAGAGACCCGCAAAACATTTCCGGTCAAATTAGTATCTTTATCATATCAGTACTTCTT